GGTAGCCAGCCCATCCTCTTCTTCCCAGTCTGCCATGAAGGAGATGATGCAGGGTGGACAAGGCTCAGACAAGCAGAAGCATGCTGGCCCCAGGCTCCTAGACTCGACTGATGACCCAGAGCTGATTGTCATCGGCAACGAAAGTACTTCTGGGCACAGCTGGGGAGGGACCCGGAGGGTGTGAGGGCACAGGGGGCCTGCAGGCTGCTGACTGCCCCCCAGCCATGCTCCCCCTGGCTCCCCCGACCCTGGGCAGCTCTCCCTCTGGTTTCTTCTTCCAGTTACCCTCGTGGAAAAGCCCAGGACACCAAGGCATGGGGATGGCCGGTCTGCCAGCCCTCTGCCCCCCGATGCCAGGACAGCGGGCAGAGGGAAGGAGGCGAGTGCCAGCGGTGACCTGGTCTCTGCTGGGGAAGATGACACGGGACAGGACGTGGAACAGAGTGACAGGGGACGGAGTGGCACGGCACGGAGGGGCATGGGATGGAGTGTGGGACAGAATTACATGGGACGGAGCGTGGGACAGAGGGACATGAGACGAAATGTGCAATGGAGCGACGCAGGACAGGAGGACATGGGACAGGAGGACATGGGACAGATCAAGGATGAAGAGATCGAGATACGCGTCTCTAAGGTAGAGGATCTTCCCAGCCCCCTGGGTAGTCCCTCTGAGATGACCAGCATGGAAGAGATCAAGGAAGAAGACACCAAGATGAGCATCTCCAAGGTAGAGGCTCTCCCCAACCCCGTGGGTGCTCCCCCTGAGACACCCTCTCCTTTGGGGTCTGCATCCCCCTCTTGCTGCCTTAGACCAAGGTCTGGTTTAAGACCAAGCTCACAGTGGCACAGGGGGCTTCCTTGAGGGAAAGGGGTGGAGTTCTGGGGGCAAGAGCTGGGGCTGAAACACTGCTCTGCTTGCTCAGGCTCCTCCCCACGTTCTGAAAAAGAGTTTGGATGGCAGTTTCACCACCTCAGGAATGCATCCAAGAGCGCCTGGCACCCACCTCCCAGTGCAGCGGGTGCAGGCAGTACGAGGCCACCCAGGATCCCAGAACCTCTGGGTCCCAGCTGAGAGCATGGCTGGGACGAGCAGGTGAGTGCCACAGGGACAGCAATGGCACTGGGCACAGCACTGGCCCTGTTCCCTCTGGCTGGGCCCATGTGGTGCCCTGGCATTGGATCCATCCATCCACTGATGGAACCGTGGGGATGCTGATGATCATTTCCTCCCAGTGGCAGTAGGCTCCCAGCATCCCAGGAGGCACGTGGAAGAGGCATCAGGATGGAGGCATTCCCAGCTGAAGCTGGAATGTAGGTGCAAAGGCTTTTGTGCCAAGTGTGGGGGACAGTGGTTTGTCCCCCAGCAGGGTGGGACACGCAGTGCCAGAGCCCAGTTGTGACCTGGTTGCTGACCAAGAGAGGACACGGGTGGGAGGCTGGCTGGGATGGCAGCTGTGGGAGCCTGAGCCCTCCACCTCCCATCCCTGTGTGTCCCGGGCAGCCACAAGCAGCCACCCCATTTTGGAGGCACCAGTGGGACGAGGTGAGCGTGTCCCAAGGTGGGAGCATCCCACCCTAGCGAGGGGTACAGGAACTCCCTCCTCTGACCTTGCCACCAGCCCCAGTTCCCAAGGGACTGGGTTGCTCCTGGGAGACATTCCCATAGCAGTGGGTTTTGGGAACTTCCCTCTGTGGATTCACCGTTGTCTAACATGAGCTGGAGCTTTGTCCCAGGTGGGACTCCACAAATATCCTATTTTCCCCCATCACATCCCTTTTCTTTTGTAACCAGCCAGTGGGTGCTGTGGTAGTGGTGGAGAATCCAGGTTCAGCACCCCGCCCTGAAAATGCCAGATCTCCCTGCGGTGCTGTGCCTGTGTCCCCCAGGAGCCTGCCCAGCCCTTGTCTCCCTGCTTTAGGATGCTCCTAAAGGTGCCCTCTTCTGAGTACACACCTTGTGAGCAGCTTGTGCAATTGCCTGGCCGGTGAGTGGCACCAGCACCGGTGCATCAGGGCTGGGACGGGGGCAGATGGGTGCTGGCAGTGCCCTGCAGTGTCAGGGGTGGCTGGTGTGGCCCCTGTCACCCACCCGTGGCCCCTGTCACCCTCCCCAGACACTCTGAGGCCATCTTGTCCACACCACCACCATCCCCCGGCTTCTCCGGGCGCCTGCCCCGTGCCCGCAGGCAGCACCAAATCCAGGAGCACAGGTAGGGACTTGGGGACCCCCCTGGCCCCTGGGGAGCTCATCCCAGCGAGGAGAGCTCTTCCCTGGGTGGCAGAGCTGGGAAGGGGCTGGAGGTGCCCAGGCAGAGGAGCTGCAGAGGGTTTCACAGCCCTCGTGCTGTCCTGTCAAGCCCTGAAGCCACGTGTGATGAGTTGTGTCTGCTGTCAGCCTCAGCTCAGGCTTGGTGGGGACTTGGTGCCTCCTGTGAAAGGAGTTCCCAAAATCAAGTCCTGGAGCTGGGACAGCCCTGCTGTCCCACAGGGGCTGCTGTGGAGCCTGGCACAGCCCTGCTCCTGCCTCCTGGTGTCCCCTGCAAAGGGCACCAGGACCTGTCACAGCCACGGGCAGCCCTTAGGGCTGTGGGGAGAGGGGAGATCCTGCAGGGCTGGGTGGGCAGGGGTCTCCTGCAGCAGCTGGAGGAGGGGGAGCACCCCCTGAACCCCTCCCTAGCACAGCAGGTTGAAGCACAGGGTGCCAGGGTGCCGGGCACTGAGCATCCTGTGCCCTGTCCCCCAGGGAGCAGGCAGTGGAGGGGTATTCCCGCAGACCACCGCTCTACTCCGGGGGCAAACACACCAGTGTCAGCCCCGTGAAGCCCATGAAACCACTCCTTCCAAACCCCAACGAGGTAGGCATGGGAAAGGTGGGGACACACACAGGACACCGAGGCTGGGAGAGTGATGCTGAGCATCTGGAGGAGCATCTATGCCTCAGTTTCCCCAGGAAGAGCTGGGTGGGGAGGTTAGGGGATGCTGAATGCAGCCCAGTGGGGCAGAGCCAGCCCATCCCCTCCTTCCCAGCCCGGCACGTTCGAACTGATGGGCAGGGATGGAGTCGTGTACCGGGGCCGGACTCCCCCGGGGATGGACTGAGCAAGCAGCTCCAGCCTGCAGAAATAAAGGGTGACCAGCAGCCTGTGCCTCTGAGTGCAGCAGGATCTTTCCTTCGTGCACAAAGAGGGGCCAGCAGCATCCCTCGTCCTGCCAACAGCCCCTGTGACACCCCCTCCCAGCAGCTGTGTCACCCCCTGGCCCTCCCGAGCCCCACTTGTGCCCTGCCAGGGCACCCCAAAAGGGACAGCAGGAGGAGGAGGAGGAGCTCATTTGCTGCTGGAGAAGGGGGAAATGGGGACCTCGGCGGGAAGGGCAGCAGCAGTAGAACAGAGTTTGATGCCAAAAGCAAATCCCAGCCCAAGCCGCTGGTTTGCTGTTGCTTATCCCCCGGATGAGCATCACAGACCCCCTCTGCCACCCCCTCGTCCCTCTTGCATTGGCCAAAGGCACAAACCCCTCTGCTCCCCACCTCCAACCAAGACACCACAACCCCAGGAGAGGGACACGTCCCCTCCTTCCCCTTGTGCCACCCCAAGGCCTGGGGCTGCTCCTCCCCAGCCCCCCGTGCCAGCCTCCGCTCCCCGTGGATGGGAGGAAGCCCCAGGAGGGGAAACCCCAACCCTGAGCAGCTCGGGGGCACTGAGGGGTGTCACAGCCAGGGACACGTGGCTGTGAGCACAGGGGCTGGGGATGTCCCTCACACGCAGGCAGTGACATTTCCTGGGGGGGACACGAAGGTGGTGTCACCTCTCGGGTGAGAAACACTGAGGGGAACCCCACAGGAACCTCGGGGGGACTCAGAGCTTATGGGGAGCATCCCCTGGGGGCTGCCCTGTGGAGACCCTGCCCTCCTGGAGGATGTCCCCAAACCTTCCCCCCCACAGCACAGCCTCCATCCCTGTCAGCCTCCACAGGCACCTCAGTCCCAGGGAGCTCCCCTGGCACGTTCTCCCTGCTGGGTTTGGTCTCTCAGGGGAAAACCAGGTGTTCAAAACCTGCTTTGGGAGTAGAGGTGGACACAGCCGGATCTGGGATCTCCCCAGTGCCACCTCCTGTGGGATGACTGGGAACACTCTGAGCAAACCCCCGAGCACCAGAGCAGAGCCAAGAAAGAACCATCCTGCACTCCTGGCTGGCACTGAGGGGCTCAAGCACCTCTGGGACCAATTGCATTTGCAGGGCATGGCCCAGCTGGGGTCACCTCTTTGGTGCCCATCATCCTCATGGCCGTTTTGCTGCCCCCAGGATCCAGGTGCACCCTACAAACACTCCCACACCCCTGCACCCCCTGAGCACACCCCCAGCCCCAACACCCCACCCTGGGGTGATCTTTGGAGCAGTAACTGCAGATGGGGGAATTTCTTTTGCCTTTTCTCCATGGAGTTTGTGCCACCTTGGGGACCTCCCCATCCCTGCAGGAAGCTTTGGGTCTCCCTGTCACTCCTGGCATTTCCAGAGCTGCTGTGCTCCCATTTTTGGGGTTTCACCCCAGCTGTTGGTTGTGTGAACACAGTGGCCACGGGCCTGGTGAGCTCCTGTGGTGACCCTTGTGCAGAGGGGGACACTCCGAGGACATCATCCCCTCCCCAGGTGTGCCCACAGTGTTGGGCTGGGGGGCCTCATCCCAGGTGGGTGATGGGGCTGGGGGGGGCCCAAGTTGCTGGGGGGCTTTTGCAAGCTGAGACTTAGTGAGGGGACAGACAGGGGTGTCAGCTGCACCCCCTGGCACACGGGGGCTCCTCGCTGTGCTGGCACAGCCCCCCATGGCCCCTCTTTGGGGACAGCAGTGGTGGCTTGTGGAGGCACAGCACAGACTCAGTCCCCACTGGGACTGAGGGCCACCCCCATTTTCACTGTCCTGCCAAGAACACCCTCCCAGCAGAGGAGAGAAAAGGCAGGGACAGCTGGTGTTAAAAAAGTTATTTTTTTTTTAATTTTTATTATTTTTTAAATTAATAAAAAACCTTCAACCTGTTTTTTTTTGCTGGGTCTTTTTTATGGTTTTGTGGGTCTTTTTTTTTTTTTGGTTTTTTTTTTTTTTTTTTTTTTTTTTTTTTTTTTTTTTTTTTTTTAAGCAACATTGATTTGAAAACTAAAAAACCCCCAGCTCCCCCCCTGCCTGGGGAAGCACCACATAGGGCAGTCACAGGGACAGGGGGACATCACTTTGATAAACCCCCAGGCCCTGGGGGTGCTGAGGGAGGGAGGATGGGGTTGGGGGCAAGTCCAGGGGGGGTCTGTGCAAGAAGCCGGGCTGAATTTCGGGAGCCAGAGAGCTGCTTTTGCTCTGGGCACTGCAACAAGTGCCCAGGGAAGGCAGAGCTGGGGAGGGTGTCCAGTGGCTCCATGTGTGTGTGGCTGATGATCTGAGGTGCCAACAGCCACCTCCACCCATTTGTTTTTGTTATTCCTGTCCTCCCCTTCCCTCTCCTGCCCTGATGTAGAGATGCTGGGTGGGGATAAAGCCACAGGGAAAACCCCCAGACACCCACAGCTGCCTCCACGCTGCTGCTCTTCTCTCTGGATTTATATACATTAGATATATTTATATATTATAGTTATATATTTTTTTTAAAAAAAAGGGGAGTAGAGAGCAGCCAGAGACTCTCATGGCTCAGTGCCCTCCCTGGCAGCATTTGCTCCACCCCCCTCCCCCCCCTAAAAATAATAATAAAACCTAGAAAATGATTCCAGTGCGTTTCTTGGCGAGCCCCCGCTCCCAACGCCCCGGCCCGGCCCCCCTGACCCCCCCAGCCCTCCGGCAGCCCCAGCCTTATCTCTGCCCATCCATGGTGGCCACGGCTTTCTGTGGGGGGGCAGGGGGCGGCGGGGCGGGCGGCCAGGAGGGCTGCGGGTGGTGCAGGTGGTGGTGGAGGCCGTGGGTGGTGGGCGAGGACGGGGGCAGCCAGGCGGGCTGGTGGCTGGGGGGCGAGGAGGCCCAGAAGGGGCTGAAGCTGCCCGGGGGGGAGCAGGCCATGGAGGTGATGGGGCTGTTGCTGCTCTGCAGGCTCTCCGAGGTGCGCAGCTTGGAGAACATGGCCAGCGCGTCCGGGAAGTTGGGCGGCGTGGCCGGCGTGTTGCTGGGGGTGCACATCTGCAGGGCACAGGAGAACGGGGCTGTCAGCTCTTTTTTGGAGGGGGTCCCCACCTGCCCACCACAGGCAGGACCACCGCTGGGGATCCTGCTCGTATCCCACATATCCACACCCGAGGGTCAGCGTAAGGTGTGGGAGAGGCTTCAGCCAAGCTGGACATTTTGGAAGGACATTTTGGACCATCCCAGATGCTCAAAGCCCACGGATGAGGCGGGTCTGGGGAGCAGCACAAACAGGGCTGATGCAAAGGGGTCCAGCACGGGGGGTAGGTGTCACAGTGAGCTCATGGGCACTCTGTTTCCCCTTCCCCATTCCCTGTGACTCTGATCAGATAATCCTGGACCCTCTTTCCTGCCCCAACGGGGTTGGTGGAGATCCAGGGAAGCCCACCCTGTCCAAAGTCTATACAGACCCCTGACATTTCCTGTTCGTGCTCTTTTGCCCCACTCTCCCCTTGGACACCACAGAATAAAGAGAGCTGAACCAACGTATTTTGGGGTAAGAGCCTATTTTGGAAATCTTCATCATCTCCTGATATTCCTCTCCTCACAGCCATGGACCTCTGAGCTAGCCTGATATTCAAAGGGCTGTGTGAGGGGGGAACGGCAGGTAGGGAGGTTGTGGGGTCCTACCTCGCCCCACAGGACCCCCTTTCACCCATTTTCCTCAGCCTCTTCCCCTTCACACCCCATTATGGCAGAGAGAGCAAAAGGCAAGCAGGGCCCCCCCAGTTCCTGGTACAGGCTCTGCCTTCTTGGTACCCAGCTAAATTTAGCACCCGGACAGTGATGGATCCGTCCCTTTTTCCAGCAGAGGAAAAATCCACTAGGGAGGACCCAGCCCCGCTCCGGGGCTCAGGGGCTGGCACAGGAACCCCAAATCAGCACAGAACTGGCTGAACTGAGAATTGGAGAGGTGCTAAAAGGGGGATTGGGCTGTGTATGCAAATTCCCACACGGCTGCACACACAGGGAAGGGCCTGTGTGCAGGGGGATGCCTTGACATGGGGGGTCCATGCACAGGGAGATTTCACCTCTCTGGTTAAATCCATCCCAAATC